CACACACACACACACACACACACACACACATACACACACGTATGTACGACGCGCATATACACACATATACACACATACACCACGCAACCCTACCGCGGCGCTTCGCTAAATGTCAAACTCCTTTAACCCGGCGCCGAAGCGAACGCGCGCCGCGCACCGTGTCACGGAGAGAATCAGCGGCGAGATCGGAGAGAGATCACGAGGCGCTCGTCGCGCGCGCGCGCGCGCGCGCGCTAATCCCGGAGGTCGGTTAACCCTCTCTCTCCCCCCGAATTAAAGAGCCGACAGCCGAGTGCACTCGCCCCGTCCTCTCCGTCAGGGACGCTTTCAGATTTCCATCCCAAGGAAATTCATTCCCAGATATCGCTTTATCCTCGTTTAACGTTAAATCTCGGTGAACAACAAGGATAAAGTGACATCCGAGTGACACTCGAGTAGGAATTTGAACATGAACCAGGTGTTAACCCGCTTCCCCTCGAGTGCTCGAGCTGGAGCGTCTCGCGCTCCGAGATTGAGGTTATGAACGCCTCGGCAGCGGACTGAACTGCGGAGCGAGCGGGGCTGCGCGAAGCGCAAGCGACGTGAAGGTTGGCGCGGATCGCTCGAGTGCAGAGTGAAGTCCGCAGGTGAGAACCTCACGGGGTGAAAACGAATGTTGCGAACGTGGCCGTTGATGGAACGGAAAATACCGCTAACAGGACCGACTGTCACTCACTCCCGCTCGATAGGAATACAAACACGGTGCTCTAAAAATAACGACGCGTGTCGAACGGAGAGGGAACGAATGTGAAAGAAAGAGAGAGAGAGGGCGCGTTTACCTCCTGATGGTTCCCCTTTTGTGGCACGTATTAGGAAGGCGATGTGTTCGAAGGAAATCGACGAACAAACAGCCGGGGCGACCACGGCCCTTTTAAGGCTGTCCCCCTCCCCCAGTCACAATTTCATGATTTCCCGTGAGTGACGTATTGGAAGGAGAGGCTTTATCGCCGCGCAGACAGAAAGGCAGGCGAGCGGTGGCGGGCGGTGCATCCAGTAATGTATGAAGATAGCTGCCGATCACAGACAGTAGAGGCGAGTGTTAAATGAAATTAGCTATCAGAGAGAGAGAGACAGAGAGAGAGAGGGAGAGAGCAAAGTAATAATCTAGTAATAATCGATTTGTGTTGCCCTCTAGTAGATTGCGAGCGCAACTCCTCTTTCTTTTTCCTCTCTTTTTCTCTCTCATTCTCTCTTCTCTATCTCTTTTCCTTCCCCCTTCCCTAACTTTTTGTCTAGGATTGTTACTTTACCTCGAATCGCGGATTTGTTACGTTATCGCACGCTTTACTACGCTCGTAATACTTCGAACCTTTTTATTTCCGGTCGCATCTGTCGCCAACGCCACTTCCGGCGTTCAAAACGAAAGATCCACGAGTAGAATACGTAATTATAAAATCAAGAAGACATGAAGTAGAAGTCATTTTAAGAAAAATTATAACGATGTTATTCGATACATTTGTGAAAATGATTTTGCGTGTAATTCTTGGCATGACAGTCATTTCTTTATGATTTTTATTTAAAAAATATATTAAAATTTACAAAATCATAAAGATAATATCAAGTGGGATTTATTTTAGAAAAAAATCATAATATTCATTATATCCAAGCAAAACAAGTCATTATGATATCAAAATGATGTCAAAATAACTTCAAAATGATCATTACAAATCATTTTATAATCATTTCCGATTCATTTTAATATCATTTTAATGTTATCATGACTTGTTCTGTTTGAGACATTTTTAATGATGATTTTACAATGAATTTGACATGATAATAATAATTTTTAAATGATTAATTTTTTTATTAATTTCTGACGTGATAATGATTTTTAAATGATTTTTTTACTAAAGAAATTACTTAAAAATCATTGTCATATCACAAAATCATGGAAATTGTATTGAATGACATCATAATAATTTTTCCTGAAATGACTGATATTTTTTTAATAAAAAAAAATCACTTCAAAATTACTGTCATGTCAAAAATTCATCACAAAATTATCAAAATCATAATTTTTTATAAAATAAATAACTTAAAAATTAAGAAGATTATTGTCACGTCAAGAGTTTATCACAAAATTATCTTCAAAAGTGCATATTGACGTCAATGTAATTTTTCCTAAAATGACTTATACTTGATGTTATCTTATTCTTTTTGTGATTTTGTATCTTTTTGTGTTTTTGTGATTTTATCTAAGTGATACGTAACTCAAGGAAAAGGAAAAGAATGATACGCAGAAATCGCGTGATCGATGTCCATTTCTTACCAATGTAGCTTAATTTTAATCTATTTTTTATCTTTAATTTATTTTTTATCTTTTTTTAGTTCTAACCCAGATAGAACACAGAGTCATAATTAAGTCATAATGATATCACAGAATGTCATGACGTCATTTGATACTTGAAAATTAATTTATGAGTGACGAACGAAGTCATGATGATATCTTCATGATATTATTATGACTTCTATATTCTACTTGGGAAGAATTAGAAAAAGATATTCGTTAAATCAAGGTTAAAGTTAAGTTGCATTTATAAAAATAGCAACGACGCGGGAAAAAAACGGGAATCCTCTGCGAGATAAAAATTTCGTCCCGAGAGAGAAACGACCTGAGTACACATCGGAAAGAGCACACGGAAATTTAATCCGTTCAGTAAAAGCCCTCTGCGACGAAAGATCAACGGCGGGACGATGAGAGACGTCGGGACGCCGGGCGTCGTCGTTGCGACGCGACGCGGCGACGCGTTCTCCACACTCAAGATGGTCCAGCTCACTCACGAACGGTTCACGTAATCCTCTCATCCCCGGCTATTTCGAACTGGGCAATAATCAGCAGTGGCCGCGTTGGTTCCTTTTACGATGCCGAGATCTCAACAACATGACGTCAAACAATCAAAGGTAGTGAGAGAATGTTAAACTTTATGCACAATGAAAGCACAGAGAATACAATCATCGTATATTATAAATTTTGTAATTTTTTAATCAGGCAATTATTACTCATTAGACAACTATTACTTATCTATACTGAGAAAAAAGTTCTAATTGTATTAATAAGAAGTACAAATAAAATAAATTAGATATTGAGAAAAATATTCTGATTGTACCAACGAGAAGTACAAAAAAAAAACAAATTGGATCATATAAATTAGATATTGAGAAAAATGCTCTGATTGTAGTAACGAGAATACAAACAAAATAAATTCTGATTATATAAATCAAAGTTCTGGTTGTCGTAATTGAATTTCTAGTTACTTCGAGAGTAGAATGTTTAATAGATTTAACTGTCTAATTTATATGTTTCTGACTGAATCTATCGGGATTAATGCAACAGAACTTTTTTTCAGTGCAAACTTGTCGACTATTATCGCAAAGTCAATTTGATGAAATTTCTGTTGTTTTACTAGCAGTCTTATATTATCTATAACATCTATATTCTAAGACGGATAATATAAATTTGATATTTTGCAAAAGACGGATAATATAAATTTGATATTTTATGTCTGTTTCTACCACTGTAGAGTAACTTTCTGATCTCGGTTTATAACTTAACTATCTTTTCTTATTTTAAGAATTAGAAAAAATAAACAGCATGTTATATATAAACTGAGATTAAAGTTAATCTACATTGATAAAAGTAGAGGGATGATGAAGGACGAATCGGATTTGAACAAAATGGGGCTACATCAAATGTTAAATTCATGACGTGGAAAGCTTTACATTGAAAAAAAATGTAGTATCAATAAGAGATACGAATAAATTGTATTCTGATAATACCAAACAAAATTCTGGTTATCGTAATTGAATTTCTGATTGCGTTATTTCGACTAGAATTTATTATTTCGATTAGTTCGATAGATTTCACTACGTTCTAAAAATTTAGCGTGGATTTAACACCATGGGTGTTAAATATAATTCTTACTTTATTGGTGTTGATTTATCAAAACGCCAACAAAATGTGGATTTAACATCATGAGTTTTAAATCATACTATTAAATTTATAATGTGAAATTATAACTAATTGGAGTTATTTTTAATTATTTCTACAAAAAAGGTCGCCACTGCTTCTATCCTATTAATTTAACTAAAACAATGCAGTTAAACAATTTAATTCAAGAAAATATGTTAAATTTTATTCAAATTTAGTTTATTATTTACTAAGTGCATATTAATATGGATGTTGTTTACTTCAACCACAGAAATGGATTGATTTACATGTTGACACACATGGAAGTTAAAATGTTATTTTAACAAGGGATTGATTTAATTTCTTTGATTGCTCCTTTGATATCTAATAATGTAATGGTCAATCCACACCCATAGTATTAAATTCACATCATGTTGATGTTTATGTTATATATATATATATATATAATACGGAGAAATAATCACCGCGTGTGATGTTAAATTCACATCTATATTTTTTAAAGTGTATCTGATTTGTACCTATATGGTCAAACCTATTTCGAATTTCAATTAATGCAGACTTTTTTCATTACAGAAAAAAAGGAAAGAACGATAAAAAAAGAAACATAACAGAAGTGTGATCGGACATAAAGGCGATGCCGGTTCTTGTTCGAGATCGAATTTGTGCATCTCCTCGAGCGACCGGATGACGTGATCTAAGGGACAGCTTCTTGCATCGATCTCAACGAAAATTGCGTAAGGAGAAGCAATTTCCCGTTCGTGTCGTTCCGCACAGCGTTTCCGTCGCTTTTCATTAAAACGAGTGTCGGGCATTTGGCGCGCGCGCGTAATTGCATTTCGCCGCGCGCATTTAAGCGGCGAAACCGCGCTGGGGCAACTTTTATAGCGCAATTTCACGACTTGAAATACTTCCAAAATGCATCGGCCTTTCCCTTCTTTTTCCTCTTCTTCATCCTCTGTCATAAAAAATTTTCAAGTTTCGCTTTGAACAGCGTCGACTTCTACCAATGTAATGCCCGCTTCTACCAATGTAAATTAACTTTAATCTCAGTTTGAGGATGTATTGCACATATTTTTTTTTAACAGAATGAAAAAATTATGAAAAAATTATAAATTTTTCTATATTGTATTTCAAAGTAATACAAAAACCAATTTAGAAACTGGATAAGATATGGATAAATGAATGTATAATCGGATCTTTTCAATGTTTCTTCCATTGTTTATAACTTTTTCATTAACAAAGTTACATTTTTTATTTATTATATGTTCCTTAACGTTTGATGTTTCGATTAAAACAAAATTTATTAATATGTTCATTTTTATGAAAGTGTGTTATAAACAATCTCGAATTGAATTGCACGTGTCAGTGTGTTGTTCTCGTAACGTGGCGTTTCAGAATTTAAAGAATTCTAAGAATTAGAAAAGAATTAAAATTAGAAAAAACTAAAGAATAAATTTAAACCGAGATGCAAAATTAATCTACATTGATAGAGACATAAGCCAATCGTTGAAGTGAAGGTATTAGAAAATGAGTCAGCCGGATCAGTCAAGGATCGATTTTGACGCGACAACACAATCTTCCACTATAATAATACTAACAGATAACAATCGCGCACAATTGTAAAGAAATTATGATTTGTCACGTAAAAACATATATAATCCATCCGTATTTTCACCGCGTCATTCGCAGTCATTCGCGTGCAACCGATTCAATGTGTTGTCCACGCGATGATTCAAAGATCTCTTACTTGTCCGATTTGATCATCCGACAACACTCTCGTGTTCTTCCTTCTTCCGTATCTGGCCACAATGCTATAAATACGGAATCTGCGAGCGTAAAACGCAGAGAAGGTTGCGGAGTCGGTTAATTCTTGCGTGTGAAATATAGGCGGATTATGCGATGATGGCATTTCGCGCTGCGAGGAAACGATGTGATGGCCCGGGGAAGAGAACCGGTCGTGTTACTGGCGCTGTTTCAGCGCCGAGTGACCGCGGCCGAGGGAGCGTATCGTCATTAAATGCGTCTATAGAGCGCGGTGAGAGAGACGAGAGAGGCGAGAGAGGCGAGAGAGGCGAGGCCGCGGGGAGACGGAGAGGTCGCGAAATGATGTCACCGCTTACGCACGTTCATCGAATTAGACTCCGCGCGATTTTATTATCCGCTCAGACGGCTCTTAGCTAAACGAGTTTAATCGTTTTTGCATGAGCCGCTCTCATTATTCACCCGCGTACCACACCGTCATGTAACGTTAATTCCCCGTCCGGGGTGCGACGCCGTTCCTTTTTATTAACTGCACCCCGCTGCACCCGCAACGTTGTCGTCGTCATTGTTGGTTAGATGAGAAATGTCTTGTCAAATTTTGTCAGATTCGACGTCCACTGAAACTCGGAAGTAGTATACATTTCGCGAATATTAATGTGAAAAATGTATTAACACTACACTGTTAAATTTATGTCAAATTATATCCAACTAGAAGTTATTTTAATCACTTTTATATACAGAAAAATATCTTGTTGAGAAAGTGATCACTCAATTCACTTTCTTTCTTTTAAATAATGGTTATCTTCAACAAAGAATTTTATTTTCTTGATAATATAATATAATCTTAAAGTAGACTTAAAACAAATTTTAGAAAAACTCGTTATTACTGAAAACAAGAATCTATTTTCTTTTGAAGAACATTGTAAAATTGATCGAAGAAGTAACTTTATATAATAAGCAAATCGAATTTGTTTTAATTTAATAATATTGATTGAAGCATTAAACTTACTAAGATTCACAGAATACATTTTGAATAAATTTGATGCTCATGATGAACTTTTGCGGACATTGAAATGAGCAAGTTGGAAATTTTCGCAAGGTTTTTTTTTAAGCATGTGACAAGTTTATAAAGTAAGAATATTTTCCATTTTGTCCAATTCACAGTTCATATGTAAAAATAACCAAACTTACAGAAATTCAAAAAGTACTTTTTGAAAATAGAGATTTTAAATTTTAAAACTCTATTTTAAAATTTAAATTTCATTAATTTTTAACTAAGTTAAAAATAAAGCTGCTTGAATTTTGAAGTTTGTAGCGCTACGAACTCTTGTTCAAACCCAATACAGTACATAACTTTGGCTAATATCCTTAATGTAAATTTTATGGTTCTTCTAATCTATTAAGAATATTCATTTCGAGATAAAAAAAAACTGACAAAGAAATAACGAGTTTCACGAATGCAGTTTCATTGATGAACCGATCAATCAATTGATCACCGAAAATTGCAGGGTTGACAAAGACTAATGTTTTTTTTTTAAAGAATAAATCAATTTTTTTCTTAAATATGCTTCAAACATGCTTTAAATAGTATTAAAAAAAGATACGTTTAAAAACATCAATTAAGCATGTTTTTTAAACTGTTTAAAACATGTTTTTCTTACCAACTCTGGAAAAATATGACTCTCACCTGTTAGACACGAGAAAGAAACGAATCTGGGAGCGCGTTTTACGCGGTCAGAGAATAAATAGTATCATGTCACAACTAGTCATCGGCTCTGCTCGCACTCTGTGAGAGATAGAAGAAATCAACGGGGAATGATTCATGAATGTAAAAGAGCGTCCTACGCAAACGTGCTCCTCGTTCACGCGGCGCGTTCTCGGAATTCTCTGGCGCGTCACGCTCAACCATTTTCTTATCAAAATCCAAGCTCGTCCTTAATGCTCGCGAGGCACGCTTGCGGAGGAAATATGTGGAGGGAAAAAGACATGTAAATAAATATTTACGACGCCCTCCCCCCCTCCCCTTTAAGCATTGTATCCGGCCGAATCGATATAAACGACGCTGGACGCGTCACTAACATTCATTCGCATTCGCAATACGGTCGTTAAACGAAACAACAATATTATCCTCGAGGATGACGCATACATTCGTTTAATACTTTCACCGCCACCATTGTCTCGTGTGGCGACATTGACGATTCATGTGCAACTAAAAACAGAGAATGCACCGTTTGTGCCAATGTGGGTTATAAGACGCGATGATGTAAAACTTTAACAACGCGTTACAAATGGTTGACGTAATCGGAGAATAATTTTGCATATCGATCCATTAGATAATTTACGAGAAATAATTTTCAGCTTGTAGTCGTTTCTTGAAATGTACTCTATACAGTATGTTTCGATCTGTTATGTTCTTGCTACGTTACCTACACTTAACGATCACTTTTAGTGGATGCATCCTTTTAAAAAAAATTATCCAACAGCATAAACAGATAACGAGGCTCGACCAAGATAGAGAAGAATGACTGGCACGTGGCGATTACTCGTTGAAATTTTACAAGTTTGCTGGCCCCACCTCGTAATCACGACAGTCTTTTCGAATACGCACAGGTAGTAAAATTGTGACAGAATGCAATTCACCTTTCAGCGTGCAGTGATTTTGAGATGAACGACAGACGGCATCTGTCTCGATGCATCATTCATGCTTCTACCATTCGCTATACACCTTGATTGCATCACTGTTTTTATTTAACTTCTAAAGAGACTCCTGTTGAATATGTTAATATCTAAATTGAAGAGAGAGAGAGAGAGAGAGAGAGAGAGAGAGAGAGAGAGAGAGAGAATCATGAATATATTTTTTTGATGCGATATTTTCAGGAGACGGAGTACTTAGCACATTTTATATCACATTTATCACCGCACTTAAGTATTTTATTTACATTAGTAATTATCGCGATACCGCAGTTTAACAAATAATTTAATCTTTCGTGAATGACATCGATATTTTTCCACATAAATTCAACCAATGACATTCAATATTCTTACATGGAAAAGATGATTTTAAAGTAACTAAAAATTTAGCTAAATCTGAAAATAATTTTATTGGGTCATCAAAATAATTATGTAGAACGCTCAAATTGATTACTAAAATTATACCAGAATTTTTCGCAGCATCGCTACTTCAGATCTCTACGTAATTATTTTGGTTCAACATTTCGGTCCAACAAAATTATTTTCAGATCTGTATCTAATTAAATTTTTAGATACTTCAGCAAAATCGTTCTCTCTGTATTTTTTTTAACGATATTTTCAGAAAATAGAATAAATAAGCACATTTTGTTACATTTGTCACAGAGCACTTAAATATATTTTTACATTAATTATCATTTTTACAAAAGTAATTATAAAATAATTGTCTTTTGCGATTGACATCGATATTGTTCCGCATATAAAGTTCAACCAACGGTAATCAGCATTCTCATTTTCTTTTGCAATATTTTCAGGAGGTGAAATAAATATTTTATGTCACATTTGGCACTTATTTTGCTTTATTTTTAATAATTATCACTTATTTGCTACAACAACGATACACAAATAAAAAATTGAAGCGGTCCAAAAAATAAATTTGATTGTTTTGAATCATTAAAATTTTATAAATTTAATTTTGAAATGCAATTTTGATGTAACAATTGATTGTAGAAAAACAAAAGATGTATTTTTAATTTTTTTCTTTATTTTTCATTCTTTTTTACAAGCTCTTTTTACAAGTTTCTAAACAAATCAAATTTTTTGAATTATGTTATTGCAAATGAGTCATATATTTACAAAAGTAATTAAGAAATAAATTTAACCACTTGACATTCAATATTTTCACGTTTTTGCGATATTTTAAAAGCTAGAGTGAGCAAACATTTTAGTTACTTTTGTCGTAGCACTTAAGTATTTTACGTCAATAATGATCACGTTATCATGT